CAGCATTGTAAAATGACTATAAATCAATAAAAAAATGTTAAGGAAAAAGAAAAATGTCACCCAAACCAAGAAAAGGGAACATTTCATGAAATGTAAAAGGTTCACAGTGTCCAGAGCAAACAGTATAAGAAGGCTGAGAGGAAGGAAGCCTGGCCGCTGTAGCCTTGCTGGCTCTGGATGGAGAGAAGTAAGTTAACAGAGACTAAGGACGTACGAACAGCAGGGCACATCCAGTGAGAACACGGAGGAGAGGGACTAGTTACAGTGCCAACTCTCCGGAAGACAAGACTTGTCCTCTGGCAGAGGGTGAACCAGGAAGTCAAAGCTGAGCAGCAGTCCCTGAAATGTTCTTTCTGCTACTGACATTTTTCGATTACTCAGTCGTGATTTTTAGTATCTCAGAAGGGTTTTTAAAAAGGGCACCAGGAAACAATAGGCCAATGGCCCACATCCACGGATGAGCTCTAGGGGCCTCTGGAACCTCAAGCTATGGGCAAATTTTTATGTGCCCATGTTTCTGGGAAAAGGCTATGGTATGTATCTTTTATCATTTTCTAACTGAAGCCTGCAATCCTAAAGTAATTTAAAATCGCTATCTAGTTTTGTTCTTAAGTTACGTGTTTTTTAAAGACGTTGAAAAAAGAAGCCTTCTCCAATCCTAAAGATCGACTGGGGTCGGACCTGGTACCAGAGAGTCAGGGCGCTCCGAGGTCGGGGAGAGGCTCTCCGCAATGGCAAGGGCGACCTTTGCAGGTCAGCCGTGGGCTGGCTGTGGAGCTCATGCTTTCCTACAATCCTTCCAGTTCCAAACACAGAAGAATTTTTAAAAATCTGTGTTCCTCCAAGTGTCTTCCCAGAAGTCCTCATTCTGAAGTAATGCATATGAAGGGCAACACACAGGAAGCACACGAATGACAGCGGTGGCTGTAGTTTTTGCATTATTATTACTACTACTATCACCCCCAGCAATGTTCAGAGAGCACTTACTCCACATGCTTGTGCTACTACCGAAGCTCTGTTAACAGAACACTATTTCCATTGAAACCTGGGAAAAGGTAAGTTGGCAGGGAACCTGAACAAGGAATTTTAAGAGCGAATCCTTTAAGCGGAAAGAAAATTCTAAAAATTCTAAATGAAATTAGCCACGGCCTCCGAATAAAGGAAACTGGGCTATCATGGGCCACTCCCTGCCCTAGACCCACAAATCCGCTTCATCTGGATACTGGAACCCTGGCAGAAATACGCCGTCAGCAACGACAGCCAGACTGTGTCAGCAGAGCAAGCCCAGCACGAGTGGAGAAATGGTCAAAATAAAGGAGGAAGTCGGGCTGCCGTACAGGCCCGAGTTAGAAGCAGACCCTGACCAGAGCACTGGCTGGTTTGCTGAAGTCCAATGTAATGAAACCAAACAGTCTTAGCAGTCATGGTAATACAGTTAGGGAAATAACAGATACATCAAACTCTTGTTCACCCTTTGCAGCATCAACTCTTGACCTAGAAAAGTGAGTGCAGTCATTAACAAGCTAAGCTGAGAAAGACGCATTTCAGGTTCTCTCCTCTCTTCACCTCCCCTAAGGGAGAGGTAACAGGTAAAGGAGAGAGAAGGTAAAAGAAATCGTGTGAAGAAACCCAGGTGACAGGAGGAAGATAAAGGACGGCCCCAGGCACCAGTGATTTCCCCATCAGATGTTACCACTGATCAGCCTGTTTTTAGCTTTAAACGTCGGGGTAGTACATTTTTTTAAGTAATAAAAATGGAATTTAGGGAGTGTGCATAAAAAGCAGTCACAGCTTTGAAAAATATGAAGTGGGATGATTCTTGGACTGGATGACCTGAGAACTGAAGAGCACCTTATGCACTGTTCATTTCTTTGCTGTGATACCGTGCAGCAGTTACGTAAGATGCCATCGGGAGAAATGGGGTCATGGGATTCTATGTACTATTTTTGCAAATCCTTGTGAATCTATAATTATTTCAATATAAAAAGTTTTTTTAAAAGTACCTTGACCTAATTTAAATTCTATAGTGTGCTATATTAAAGACCAGAGTCTTCTGTGATTCCTTTGATAGAGCAGCAAGCTATAATTAAACCACAACATTTGAAGAGGTAAAAGGAACTGCAGACATCAGAAATTAATACTGTGTTTAGGAAATAAGTACTCACAAACTGGTACAACCTTTCTGAGCTTAACAGTCACTTTATAAAAAATATAAAGAGTATATACAGTATGATCCACAAAATTCCACTTCCAGAAACGTAACTCAGAAAGGAAGAATGCATAGAGCTAGTCAAAGAAAGAGAAAAAAAAAAAGTTAAGAAAATAGCTTATAGACATGCGGCAGAGGGGAAAGGTAAGTTTAGGGAAATTCATAGCTTTCAGATCCTTGACTTTCCAAAAAAGTAAAATCACAAAAATACAAGGTCACATATAATATCTGCATTGAAAATTCATGTTTTAACAACAAAAAAATTCCATTTAAATATATCAGGACATTACTCGGAATTACTCCTCTGCTTTGTGTAGAGAAACATAAGTTTCATGCAAACGAGATACAAACCTGTGCTTTGATGATTTGCTAAATATATTATATTTTCTTTATTTTTTGGCAAATCTCCATATAGTAATATCTAAAAGATAAAAAAAGAGAAACATTACTTTGGTATTTTAAAACATGTACTACTATAACATAGAAAATATGACAATGTCAAAAAATTGGCAAATACATGATGTCATGACTATTCCCATCCGTGATCAACAAACATCAGATTTCTCTTGGGAGCCTCAGAGACCAGAAACAGCACGTTCATGAAGCACTTGTGCGTAGGGCAGGTTAATGGTCAGGAAGTAAGACAGAATGATCAGTGTCCTCATGACTTTTGGCTGACTGCTCACAACATCTGAAACACTGTTCATAAGTGACATGGTCCTTCAAAGAGCCTACAGTGTAGTGGAAGAGCCAGGCATGTAGATACTGACTGTGATGAGACATTATGCAAATCTTATTAAAATACAGTATATTTTACTTTAAAGAACTGGCAACTGCAGAGCAGCAGCAGCATTCTTAAGGTGCAACTTCAGCGGATGAGATGAAGGAAGGACCCATGAAATGAACAAAGGACTGGAGGTGTTTGGTGTGTCTGAGGTGCCCCTGGCAGTGTCACAGCCAGACACAGGCTGCCTGCAGCGTCGGTGAGCTGGACCTGAATGTAAACAGTCTTCTGAATGCCAAGCTGAGATTAAAACTTTACTTTCTACTGGGGACACTTGGTTCCATGATACAGAACAGAGGGAGTTAAGGATAAGGGGTTTCTAGGAAGGGAGGGCACTGCAAGACTGGGGGACACGGTACGCCTCCACTCTAGAAGTCATGTTTTCTTTACCTGGGTGGTGGGTACACAGGTGCTCCTTATATGAGTCTCTGAAGTTCTGTATGTCTGAAATCTTTCACAGTAAATTATTTAAAGAAAATGGGAGTATATTTTTAAAGACTTCAAAGGAAATGACTACGAACAGCGGTATTTTTTGATTCAGGGCATTTTTGTGTCTGTACCTTGTCATCACAGATCATTCAAGATTATGGATTAAATAAGTTAAGGTTTTTCAGATCTATCTTTTTAGATCTCCGCAGAGAGACACTTTTGGTCACCAACACTACTCGTTAATATCTTAACAGCAGAACAAAGAGAAGGACATGAAGCCAACATTGCTGGAGACAGACAGGACTAGGTGACAACGGTCTGGAGCCCAGGCCCTCAGACTGAGACTTCTGTTATCTTCCTCAGAAAACTGCAGTGCTATGCAGGCAACGTGTGTCTAAATATCTGCTCAGTGATTTTTTTCAAATTAATAAAGTTTATCAGAGCCAAACCCAAAAAACCCCGAACTAGTAGCTTTTGATCTACACAGAGTTAAAAAGTGCAGTCCTGGTTTGTGAGCAATCGCCATTCTTGCCAATGAGCCAGAAAGGCTTCGGGACCATTGGGTTTAAAGGGCTGCAGCTATTTGAGCTTAAGTTCCTTGGCTGGATAGTCACAACGAACAGCTGCATGCAGTTTATTTGATTCAACCTGAATGAATCCACTCTGGAGCCCGCCTGCCCCGCGCTGAAGGCGGCAGTGGAACCACCCAGGACACTCTCCTTCCCCTTTCTTGCTCCGAGCTTGATTAAGACTACAGCCTTTGAAGCTGGATGACAAACAAGCTATTAAACATTATTTTTTAGTTTCATTCTGGTAATTACTTCATAACGCAGACCTATACCAAAACATCACGATGGACACATTAAATAGGCATCATTTTTTTATTCGTCAAAAATATATAAACTGTTCTAAGTAGTAAAAATTATTCACAGAACTATGGTATCAGTCGTGTGGAAAACAGCGCTGCAAATTGCATCTTCTGTCAAACTAAATATATCCATTTTAAAATAAAATAAGCAAGGCGAGGGCAAAAAGGAAACCATAAAAATAAGCACAGTCATCTAGTGTCATGATGAACAGTTCCCAGCGGTGGGTGCAGTCGGTGCACGCTCCGCCCCGGCCAGCGTCTGGCCACTATCTGGCCCCCGCCCCCCGCGCCACACCTCTGGAGGCGGGGGCGCGCCCCGACCACGCGGCCTCGCGCGGTGGCCCGTGATCGGCCAGCGGCACCAGCAGCTCGAGGAGATTCCACACCTCCACCGTCTGGGCTCAGTCCGCATGCTGCGCACCACGCTGGCCTGGAAACGCCACGGTTCGCTACTCTCGTGTAAGCATGAGCCGAGGGGCTGTGCGGGAAAGCCAGCCCTGCAGTCCCTCTCGGGCTCACTGACCTCCCCCAGCCCGCTGCCCTTTGTCCGGGTGACACCTAGCCCCCCGAGGGATTCCAGCCGCCTCTTAGTTTTCCCTTCTTTGCTGTGAGGCCCCGGTAAAAGTATGAACATGTAAAACATTAAAATACTTTAAAAATATTGACATCAATAAAATTTGTATGCCTTTTCTCCTGTTAACCTGGCTTTTGTTAATATAATTTGCACGCCCAGCCACAGAACATTTTACCTCGTCTAAGCTGCAGCATAATAGTCACTAAGGACATTGGCAGGGGTGTTCAACTTAAATTACGACGTGGCTGTGAATCCTAGTCCATCACCTTACTGACTACGTGAACTTGAGCAAAAGTATCTAACCTCCTCATATCTATTTTTCACCTGCAAAATGACTGCAGTAATAGTAACTGCTCCCCACAGGGTTGCAGTGAAGTAAATGAGACTGTGTAGACTGCTTCACACAACTCCTGGATCATAGTAACTATCCCCCCAAATATTCAGTTATATTATTATTATTATTATCCAATAAAATGAAATCATTTACACAAAACTGTTAAATTAATGGATACGAGAAAGAGTTATATCATTTCTCTTCCTTAAAAATGGTTGCTGATTATGTAGAAACGCAGCTCTCGAGAATTTCAGTGTAAATAAGACTGCATATGTAATTTATACTCTATGTTTATACTCATTTGAAATGAATTTTTAAGTGTACTTCTGTGCCAATGAAATCCATCATTTCAAGATTAAGTACAAGATTTCTACTGGAATGCACACAAAAACAATGGTCTTTTTCTGACCAATCTGAAACATTTCACTGAAGAGGAAAGTTGTGAAGACCCTCTGAAACAAGGTTAAAGTCATTTGTCTAATAATCGGTTATGCAAAAGTAATTATTACACGACACTTCAGCGGACCCCTACAAAGCACAAAGCTCTTGTTATTCATTTGTCATGTTCGGTCTCTTGGTACCGTGCTTTATCACAGGGTGTATTTTTCCTGAGCATCTACAATGGACCAGTCAGCGAGCTAAGCAGCTTCACGTATTACCTCATTTCGCCGTTAAAGCAACATGACAGTAAGTATTCCAGCTAAGGATGAGACTGCGGAGTCGAGAAGCTGACCTATTCAGGTTGATACAGAGTACAGCAAAGAACTAGGAATTACACCCAGGTTTCTCACCTAAGACCCAAAAATCTTTTGACGCTAACAAACTATTATCTGCAAAAATTCCAAATAAAAAATGTCAAATGAGAAGGTTTCTCATATTCAGAAGCTTATGTAATTTTTTCACTTTGAACATTAACCTCAAGGAGATAAGAAACTCACGACAAAAAAAGTAAAAACTGACATAAAATACTTTCCTACAGAAATAGAAATTAAGAATGCGGGCAAAGCATTATGCAAGCTCAGGAAGGGCTGGCATTCACCTGACATACAAGAAGCAACTCACTCAGTGACCACTTGCACTCAGCTGTGGTTCTCCTGTACTTCCTCAGTTCTTTGCTCATTTTGGTACTTTGTAACTTATCCTGTTGTAGTCAGTTAAAAAACAACTGACTTCTTTCTAACTGCTCAACTACGTGTGTTACTTGAGATGAGAGGCATTTTCATTTTTCTTTTTTTAATAGAGGTACTGGGGATTGAACCAACACTGCGCATGTGCTCCACCAACTGAGCTATTCCCCACCCCCAAGAGACCATTTCATCCACCAAAACTAGCTCCCAGCATGTGGTTAGCACTAACATGACCCTCCTTTCCAGGTATCACCCCCCTCCCTTCTTTCTGCTTCCAGATATCACACTTAGACACGCGCACCGCCCTCTAAATTCCCAGGCAACACTTGCTTACTTGCAGTTTTCATGGCCAGTTCCTACAAAGAAGCAGAGGAAACAAAATAAACCTTACAGAATCACTTACTTAAAAAACTGCAAGAAGTACAGGTTTTTACTGACAAGTAAACAAAGGTTTCTCTGTATTGCCTGCTGTCCTGGAATTCGCTTCTGTAACGCCTCTGACCTTCTCAGGCTGACTGCTAAGGGTGGAGTGCATGTTTCTTCCTCCTCTATCTATTAAAAAGGCAAACTGACTCACTAGACCTGTAGACCCTGTTAGATCAAAACCTGTCGACTAGCAAGGGCATTCAGAGCCTCACCTCTTAAAAAGGTGAGATTCACCTACATTTCCAGAAGCACAGATCAGTACTGCTGTCCAGTGCTCTGCCCTTTTGTTGAAAGGGAACAAGCAAGCCAAGTCACCCTCCCCTTTCTTGCCGCCTCTAAGGGGCTACAATCTTGGAAATGGGACAATAACTATATTTAAATACGTTAATGTTATGTTAATATTACACATGAATGTTACATATAAGTGATTCTGACTTTGAGATGGGGTGAGATCATGACAGATGAGGAAAAGCGGGGCCCTGAGTTGGAAGAACGCATACAGAGTGGTCCAAAGGCATGCTGTTGAGGATGTGTGATTTGGGGAGGGCTGGGGAGGAAGCGGCTGGGCTACAGTGAAACCAACAAATGGAAAAGCTGGCCAGGGCAGAATTTAGACAGCCTGGAACGCCATGCTTAGGAGCCTTCATGTTTACTCAGTTAGCCGTCGAGAACCTCTTCTCCTGAAACACACTATAGTACTCCCGCTTGAAGTAAAAACGCAAAAAGTAGTTCATAGCAATTGATACAGCCTTCCTGAATAACCAAGTCATATTATCTTTGTGTCATAGGGCTAATAAACATAAACACTCCAAGTTCAGTACTGTCCTCCACTGTAACTGCCAGTGTGTTTCCCAGTGTGAGTATCTTGAGAGCAGGGATGTTATTTCAACCAATGTAGCCACACCACCTAGCAAAGCATCTTTGGAAAACAGACCCTGAAGCTAGGCTGCTTTGGACTGAATCCTGGCTTGACCACCACAAACGTGAACCATGCGTGCCTTAGTTCTACAGTCTGTAAAATGGGAGGAATGGTGCATATCCTGTGAGGATGAAATGACTTTACAAAATACAGTGGTACCTGGTACACAGTCAGCACTCACTAAATGCCAGGTTTGCTGCTCACCCCATCCTCTCCACTCCCTACCCAAAGCCCCATCAGCTACCTCTACATACATCTGGGATTCTCTTCAGTCCCTCCACGCCCACACTTTCCCCCACTCTGACCATCACCTCTCGCCTGGATTACCACAATACTTCCCCAACGGCCCTTTTTCAGAGCTCAAGGCATATGTCACTTACTTGCTCAGGCAAGTTTCCCCAAACTCCAACCTCCACCCACTAGGTGAATGAAGTCACAGAGCACAGCCCATTTGAGCCTTCGTGTTATTTTTTGTGTCCCACTAGAATGTGAGTGCCATGAGGGCAGGGACCTTGTCCCTGTGTTTCTTCACTCTACCCCAGAGTCCAGCACGGGGCCTGGAACACAGGGCACACTCCCACACCAGACGAGGGAATGAAGACTGGGTTCTGAGAAGTTACTACTTTGTTTTGGATTGTCTATTAACATTAACCTCTGTTTAAGAAACCATAATACAATGAGAAAATATTAAAGGAAAAATTAACTTCTAATTCCATTTAAGAAGGGCCAACTCTTAGCATATTCCCTCCTACAAAATTAGGCATATTTATGTAAGAGGAAAAGTAAATTATGTACAGAGAGAGAGTCAAATTTTCTTTTGTTTTCCAACATCATGGCGCAGAGGTGTCCCCATGCATCACGAGTATATCCAGTGCTACTGTAGAACCCATCCAAGAAGTCAATTTAATGGAGAAGGAGATTTCCCACAATTCATACATTTATTTAAAAGCTCTTGGCAGAAATCTGAAGTTACACACCTAACTGTTGCACACCTGGGAAAGGCGTGTGTAGGCATGGGAAAGTTTAATTTTCTGAAAATATTTTGGCAGTGTTTGAATATTTTATTGCACCTGTGACATAAAACAGAAAAATAAGATATTTTTAAAAATCATATACAGATGCAACCTAAAATAACTGTCTTGCTCACAGTCCAGGATTTATATTTATAGAAAGTATAAAACAAGGTTCTAATTACATTCCTCTAAGATTTTCTTATAAGTCCACACCTACTCCCTGGCCAGACTTACAATGCGCTAGACTGGAATCAGATTTGATTGAGAAATGTTTAATTTCCTCTACCAAAGGTTTGTGTCATTCTACTTAAATGCAGCAGCACCCCAAAATCTGCTCCAATCTGCTATCCCGAGTTAAACTGAAGTAAGTAATCGAAAGACCTTTAAGGTCTTCATGTGGTTGATAAATAAGGAGAGGGGAAAAAAAGATACAAGCAACAACAATTTATATTCTGTTTAGAACTAAATCTATTTAGGATTACTGATATTTGAGAAGCATCTGGGCAACATTTCAGCAGAAATGCAGAAAGAATTCAGACATGATAAAAAAGGGCTGGACTTGTGAGGTCTCTTCTCTGATTTTAAATAAACATGTTTCATTCTAATAGTTCAGCTGCTTTTACAGCAAGATACAGAATACAAATTTAACTCATTAAGAGTTTAGGACTATTTTGGAGGAAACAATACCACCAAAAGAAAGAACCAGTTATAAATGGCCTCTAGATATGAAGGCTTTGAGGGTTTCTGAGGAACTTGAAACAATCTTTCAAGTAAAAGTATGAAATATTAGAGAAGTTCAAAATATGCTAACTGAACACATCATATAAACATCAAAATCTTACTCAAATTCTATTTCTTCCTTCTAATGTTATTAGAACTATTTTATACTTGAAGCCGATCAGCTGAAAAATAAATTTAGTTTATATCTAATTTCACACTTGCTTGTTATCATGTATCATGTTAGCATTTGGGGAAGAAGGAATTAGCAAACAGAGCCATTAGTGTAAAACACATTTTAAAGTAAATCAGTTGTCACCAACTGATGTAAGCAGGAAGCAAATGGTGACTAAAATATTTAGAACGTATTAAAGAGGAGGTATGTTTCACATCACTAGATACGTTCGCCTGCAAATATCAATGACCACTTCTTGGTATATTCTAGCAGGAGAAAGAGCAACCAAAAAAATTTTTTTAATAAAGAAAAACGAATTCTGACATTTAGAAGATTATCACTGGATACTGGTTCTTCATGCATTTATAAAAGGATGTCTGATGGACCTCAAGTATAATTTAAAATGTTATTTAATGTTAAGTCCCTTGATGAAGTTTGTTAGGAATTCTAGAACTGAGGGCCCACTCATCATCAACAGATTAAACTTTTTAAAAACCACATGCTGAGAAGTCAACCAATAAATTGGAGGTCTGTATTGAACAGACATGGGGTTAAGATACAGAATTTCAGAAACACTGTGAAATTTTACATCATTTTTTAAAGTAAGAAACTTGCTAAATACAAATTACTTCAATGGTATATGTGTTTACAAGACATAGGACATGTTATATGCTATTATCTAAAATAAAATAATCCACCATATGTAGAATTCTTTTTCTAAGAATTAAATGACTTTGTCATGTGTTCTGAGTCTGTATCCTAGCCCACGCCAGCTGTCATATGAAATTAAATACTTTTCATGATGAAAACCATACATTTAGACAAATGTGGCAAAGAACAGAGTGGGGAAATGATTGTTCTGAATTAGTGAAAATTTTAAATAAGGACAATTTTAAAATTCAATTATCAGGAAACCATAGGATCTGGAAAATCTTTCTTTCCTAGGAAACACTTACAGATACTAATTTAAATGGAGGCCCTGGCTTCTCCCGGTTCCCTTCCCCCAAACCTCCAACTGGGGCAAACTCAGTCTTCTAGGATCGTCAGCAATGTAACTGCAAATTCAGAATAGTAGCTGGTGGACAAGAGGGTGAAAGCAGCTGCTCTAGGGAAAATAAGACAAGAAAAAAAAGTCATCCCACCCAAACCGCCACACCCCCACCAAAAAAGAAGAGGACTAACTAGATAAGGAATAAACAAGAAATGGACCTTTTTTCTTTTTCCAAATTGGGAAATAAAAGGAAAATTCCCAATTGTTTTTGTGTAAGAGACTTCAAACACTTAAAGTTAAGGGGGCCTTCTACTTTTGCTTGTTTTACAAATTTAATCTACAAATCCAATCTCCATAAAGAAAGTAACAGAAAGAAAGTAATCAGACAAAAGATTAGACACACATTTAAGCCTAGTCAAAGTTGGCAAGAATTTTATCTATGCTAAGGCTTCTACAGAAACAAATGTATTAATTTCCTCGCCCAGCTTTCACTTATACTGGAGAAGAATGCAACAGTTGTACTTTTTGTCCAAATAGAAACATCAGTCTGTTTCAAGAGGTCTCCGATTTCTAAAAGCGCACTTTTGAGTTCCATCAATAGCATTTTCTTGGACTAAACGCCAGTAACATTCAACTGCTTGCCCTACTTAAATGTTCATCTGCACTTAACTTCTGAGCAACAAGAGAGACAGCTGAAAAGGAAGGGAAGAGGGGGCAGCTGACCTCACTTGTACCTCAAAACAACGTTACTGCAACTACCTAGTGATCTTGGGGTACCTGTAAGGAAGCATCCGGCCGAACCCTAAGTAAGAACGTGAAACTCGCCCCAGGGTTGGAGGATGGGGTAATGGCACGTGTTCCTGGGGCCGGATCTGCCCCGGAGCGCCGAACGACCCCACACTAGTCGGAGGTGCAGGCTGGTTCGGAGCTGGGAGGTGCGCCTGCGCCCCCGTGGGACCGAGAGGGAGGGAGGGGCGGCAGGTGCGGCGGGCGGGCGCGGAGGGCAGGCAGAGCCTCACCTGCACCCCGGTGTAGTTCTCGAAGAAGAAGAGCACCATGCTCTGATAGATGCAGTAGAGCCGGTCGTCCACCGCCTGGTAGAAGCGGGAGGGCAGGAAGGCGGAGAGCAGCCGCCAGGCCCCCCAGGCCAGCACGTAGGTGGGGGCTGTGCCCAGGAGCACGGCGGCCGGCAGCACGCAGCGCATCGAGTACATGTGGAGCACCAGGGACAGCAGCATCTTCCCGGCTCCGCGCGCACAATGCTCGGCTGGCTCCTCCCAGCCCGGCCGCCTCGCGGCCCTCAGCTGGCGGCCAATCACCGGGCCGGGCCGGGACCAGCCGCCGCCGCCGCCGCCGCCGCCCCCTCACCTCCGCGGGCCGCCGGCCACACCTGAGACGCCCTGCCCGCGCCGGATCCGGCTTCCGCCCCCAGCCGCATGGACCGCGCCGCCGCCGGGGGGTGGACGGGCGGGCGAGGGAGGCGCCGGCGCGCTGTTCGCGGCTGCGAGGCGAGGGGATGCCGCGGCCCTCGGGGGCTCGGTCGCTCAGGATCGCTTACACCCCATGACCCTCGCCCGTCACCCTCTGCCCCTGCTGGGGGCGGGGCTCCGCGCCAACAACACGCCTCCTGATTGGCCGTCCGTTGCCATAGTCCCCCGCCGGGGGCGGGGCTTCGCGGCAAGGTCATGTCTCTTGACTGGTCGAGTGCGGCTGACGGTTGACGCGCAACTGCCTCCGGGACGCGCGGGCTGCCCGGCTCTGGCTACTGCGCATGCTCCAAAGCCTGGCGTCGCTGCGGACGCGGGAAGGGAGGTGGGGCCTGGCGGGCGGAACCGGGTGAAGGTGGGTGCGGGCTCACGAGGGTCCCCGGCGGCCGTGACCCCGTCTCGGTCGGACTCAGCGCGGGTTAGCTGGAGGGGTCGCCCCAGTTGTTTACACACTTGGGGGCCTCTGGGCCTGGGATGCGCCCTTTGGCCGAGGCGTCCCCTTCCGTGGGGCGCGTAGGTGACGCGGGGGTCCCTGGGCTGAGCGGCAGCCTGGCCTTCCCGCCCCGGAGGGCTCATGCCGGCAGCAAGGGCTTGTCAGGCCCACTGCGGGACCGCCGGCAAGACAGCCGCTGGAGCAGTTACAGCAGTGCGGTGAGCGCTCTCAGCTCCCGTCCTGGGCATCGGGCCAGGCTCGCCTTCCTTATCAAGGGGCTCCCACCCGTCCGCCTTCCCGGCTCATTCCTCTTCTCCCCGGCAGGTGCATGGAACCCCCCATTCCTTCCCTTCACTCGGCGCTAGGGTGTTTCGCAGTCAGGCCCCTTTTGTCTTCCATCACGATAATGGTAGTAAGTTTACGCACACCTGGACAGCCGTTTTACAAGGTTCTTCCCACACTGTTTGTCAGATTTTTTCAAATTCACTCTTGTTTCCCTTCCCCAGGGTCTGGCTCTTTAACTTCTTTCTGATTTTTTATGTAGAGCCTCATATTTTTGTGTGGTTCTTGAAAGTACTTTGCCTGTGCGTGTAGAATAAAGTACTGACATGCTTTTGTGACCTTGATAAAAATGTAGGAAGGCAGGGAAGCTACTTTATTGATGTAAAAACAGATCCAAAGGCCTTCTGAATCCTTCTATTGCCATTTAGCTACAGTGGTGTAGATTACTGTGTAACCCTTTGCAGTGACAGTTGCGCTTCAAAAGAAGGCCAGATGCTTTAAGTGAGAAAAAAAAAGAAGTTTTCTGAATGTAGCTTTATGCAGGAACGCATTTTAGTGGAAAATTCGAATCAGGGCCAGGATGGCAGCTATTTTCTCTGACTGCCTATACTTACTTGACGTCATGTAACGATTGGTAAATGGTGACCTTGCCAATGGGACAAAGCCAGGTGAATAGAGAATTTGCCCAAGGATTAAGTGTTTAGATAGGTATGTTGCCAACAGGAAGCATTACACAGTAGAAACGTTTTTCAGTGAGGTTTCCCCTCTTTCTGGGGGAAGTACTGCCCTGTACTGTGAGACCTCATTTTGGAGGGAAAAAGTCATGGGTGTGGATAATGGACACCGCCAGTGCTGTTCATGCTTCCTTTATCTGAGACCAGACATACCTACAGTTAGAATATTTATGAACAGATAAAGCCAGTTCAGTGTTCACATTACAGTCTGTATACATGAAGTCAGTAAATGTGTGTGATGTGTGTAAATATGTTACTTCCTGTTAATTACCCCCTTATTGCTGTTAGTCACCGAGTTGTAAAGTTTTGTGCTGTGTTTTGGCATAGGGTACTGAGAACTCAAGCCTCTCATATCTCTTGTTAAATCCAAACCCGTCCCCCACCTACTCGACTGTTGCAGTGCTCTCCAGTCTCCTTTCTCCCTTCTGACAGTCCCAGACTGACCCTGTCTTCTGCCTGCCCACCTGCCCCAGGTGTAATCAGCCCACCTCCTCTGCCTCTACTTCCTTACCTTGTACATTTTTTAACCCCTTGCAATCTGACTTCCTTTTCCACCACTCGACTGAGACGGTTGTTTTCAAAGAGCACACCTAGCTTAGCCTGCACACAGTGGCTCTGGGGTCTAATGGTGAAAGGCTGCATTCAGCAGGGAGTTAAGTGTAGGGTGAGTTTTGTGAAAAAGGGGAGGTTCGTGGTACTCTGGGGACATATACTAAGGAGATCTCATTTAGTTTGGGCACTTATCTAAAATTACTTTTATCATAAGTTTAGTTACAAAAGAAAGAAACTCTGTTGAGTTGTAAGTGAAATTCTAAAGTGATTACAGAAATCTTTCAAATGGACCCCATAGTGATTTCATACCACCATACCCATTTAAAAACTACTTCTGGATCTGTTTTTACATTGATCTTTTGTCTCCTTGAAAACATTCGCATTGCACTTCCACCACATAATTGTACCCTAATGGAATATTAATTATGCTTCCAAGTCTTTTATTGACCAGACTGTATCATCAGGGTCCTAAGAGTTAACATTCCTTCTGGATTGAGCTATGACCATTGTTAGCAATATGCAATTTAATCAATGTATATCAGAAAATCTAATAATTATTGTAAATAAAGGTAGAGTTTTATTGGAAATGCCTTTCTTAGTGGTGACTTAATTTGAAGAAATTGTCAAATTAAGCTTTGGTGTCCTAAGGTTATTATACTTTTCCACCTCAGTGCAGGGCAGTATAGTAAGATTGGGCCGGGCCAAGTGGGCAGGGCCTTTGGAAAAGGCAAGGTGGGTCTGGACTCCAGGAGTCTGCTCAGGCAGATCCATTTTAGGAAAGCTGAGCATCTGAAAATAGAGTCCCTTAAACTCCTCATTCTTACATATTCTCAAGGATACCGATGGCCCGATTTGAAGATTTGAAAGTAGAGAAAGTATGAGGGACCAGGGGAGGAGCTAGGGATGCTGGGTGTTGAGTGAGGAAAAGGGAGACAGGCAAGAACCAGAAGACAGTCTTAGGAGACATGAAAAGGATTTTGGACTTTACCCCAAAGATCCTGGGAAGATACTAAATGGTTTTAAAGAGGGAAATGAATGATTAAATTTGATTTTTTTTAAAGGTGTTCCAGGCAGTGTGGAGAGTAGATTGGAAGCAGTTTCAAGATTGTTGCTAGACCCCCAGCTGGAGACAGTGGTGGTGTAGACTTTGATAGTGACCGTGTATGGAGAGCGAGAAGTGAGTTCCTCGTGTACAGCTTTTTTTGGAGGGAAGTTTGGCAGTATTGCCTAAAAGTGGACAGATTCTGAATCAAGAAGTCTGCTTAATTGAACATCAGTAACAATGCTTACATGAATACACAAAGATGACACATAAAATGCTATGCAGCAGTTAAAAGAACAAGTAAGCCTGAATGTAACGTCAGAGATCTCCAGGTTAGGTGAAAAAAGCAAGTTGCTGGATAACTCATGCACTATTATCCCATTTCTGTAAAAAAACAAAACAATGTCTTTCTAGATGCAGACATCCAGAAACGCCTGATGACATTGGTTTTCTCAGGAGAGGGGAAGTAAGGTCACATGAAGGTCAGCTAGACTTCCTGTATTTTCAAGTTTTTACAAAGAAATACTGACTCAACAAATATGTACCCAGTGGTACACACCCCACCCACTTCACCCTGGTGTCAGGGATAGAGAGCAGATAAAGGCCCTGAGGTCACGACACTTTCGGTCTAGGGTGGGGCGGTGGGATTAATTTACTACCTAGCAAATACAAATGAGTAAAGGAGAAAAATAAGCAAAGAGATGCCCTGTGCAGGAGACAGCTAGCAGGCGGGATCCCGGAGAGTTACTTGACCTTGGTGATGAGGAGGGGGAGGGGTGAAGAATGCCTTCCCAGTTTCAGGCTTGAGTAATGGGGGAATTTGGTTTCTGCTACTATGGGGTGGAAACGGGAACTTACTCAGCTGGTGCAGAGGAGCGCCCTTTAAGAAAAAGGACACGTTTACAAATACAAAATTGGATTTGAACATGTGTATTTCTTTAGAATGCAACAGGGCAGTGGGTAGAGTGCATGCCTAGCATGCATGGGGTCCTGGGTTCAATCCCCAGTACCTCCATTAAAAATAAACCTAATTACCTCTGCCCCCTGACAACAAAATAAAAAATTAAATTGCTTGATAAAAAAAGAAAAATTCACAAAAAATAGATATTTTTCACAAGCTGACATACCACAAAAATTAACTATTCAGATAACATTTTATTATGTAACTATCATGGATCAGTGATAAAGTATACCTTTGTTTTGATTATGAAAACCATTTTATATTTTCTACACAGAAAAATAATAGCCTTTCTAGCACGATAGATGGAAACTTGGTTTTTAACACTGATCGTCAGGGTGCGTAATATTCAAACTCACACTATGACTTTAATACGTACTTAAGGAAACTCCAGGTTTACTTTTTGAGGTGGGTGGTGCGAAAGAGAAGACCACTAGTGGGACCTCGACAAAAGCATTCTAAAGTTCATGTAGGAAAAACAACTCAAAAGTTTTGGAAGAGGAGGAATACTGAGCCTTGCAGACAGAATGATGGCCATCCCATCCAAAGGCGTCCACATAATTTCTGGAACCTGTGAATCTGTTAATTTGCCTGGCAAGGGAGCATTTGCGGCACAGATGGAATTAGGGTTGCCAATCAGATGACCGTAAGGCGAGAACCCTGGGTTATCCAGGTGGGACCAATGTGGTCACCAGGGACCTTCAAAGTGGGGAGGGAGGCGTGGAAGGAGTGCGGACCAATGCCCAGCCTGCGAGGGGGCCTGGGCTTACCCACTCGGGCTTTGAAGATGGAGGGCCAGCCCGGGCCAAGTAAGGAGGGCAGGCTCAGGGCCGAGCAGACCACAGTGCCAGCTGTCACCTCCAGCCCCGGAAGGACACTGCCCTGCTCCGTACCTTGGCTACTCCAGAAAGACCCGTTTTGGACTTCTGACCTCAGAACTGTAAGTTAAACTGATGTTAAGTTTCTAAATATGTGGTAATTTTTGTAGCAACAAAAGGAAACTAATATACAGAGTGAGGGAGTTTTCCAGTAGGTACCAAAACACCCTGTAAAGCTGCAGTAAGAATTGAGTTACTAATGAGGAAACAGATGGCTCAGTGGGGCAAAAGAGCCCAGAAACTCAACGTGTGTGTGTGTGTG